TCTAATCCGTCTGAAGATCTTTTGAACCGTGGGTATGTTTTATTCCAGTTACTATTATATTTGCGGTGTCATAAGATGCTTTCCATTTTTTGGGATGACGTGGCCATTGGTAAAAGTAGTAATATCTATCATTGATAGAACGAGGTCTATATCCTCTCTATTTTATGTTCTCGAGTAGTTTCTGAACAGCTTGAATCACTTGGTATCAGTGGTGGGTTTTGGTTTTATTTCCCGCATTTATTCTAGTAGGTTAACATAAATTATAGAGGGCATTGGTTTATCGAAATCACAATCCGTTTAGAAAGACACAAAATACAATAAGAAATGGCGCGAATCTCCGTTAGTCCGTATCAGGACACCACAACAAAGTCAAACTGAAATAAAGATGTTAACTGTAGATCTAAATTGCTTTTATCAAATCTGCGTGTTTCTATCCGAGGAACCATGAAGCAAATGTAAGCGCATCTTGATAAGTAAGCCAGGAAAAATTAAAATATGCCAGTTCATTATCTTATGCCAGTTCAATTTTAAATATGCAAAATTTGTGGAATCTGGCATTAAAAAATGCCAAAATGGCAACCCTGCTGACAGACAGCCAGTGTTGCCACTTTGGATGTTTTACATCCAAATGTAGATGTTTTTACTTGCGTTTAGATGGCGTTTTGACATTTAGATGGTAGATGTTTTCTAGATTTTTTTTCATTTGGAGTGAATTTATCAAATCTAACCTAAAAAACAAGATGAAATTTGACTTCTTAAATGCTATATTGACAATAAATGTTTGCCTCATAAGAGTAGGAAAAGGCTGTTCCCCTTATCAGCTCCCTTATTGGGTATTAAAAGTCATTTTGGATCAGAAGCTTCAACTTCATCATCCAAGCTTAGTTTATCCTGTGGATCTTGTAAGGCAGACTTCAGTAAAGATGAGGACATTCTTTCTTTTTTTCTTCTTTGTGTTCACCAGCTGTACACTCTGGCGTAAAGTTCTGGTTGTTCGTCCACTACTGAACTGCAGTCATGCTCCAGAACCTGAGTGTTGCATGTGCATCAGTTTTACAGATCTGATTCAATTGAATGCAGACTGCTGGTTCCTTGCCTCTCAGGCAGATGCACTCCGACTTCAAAGGAAGCTCCCCAGTTAGTCGACTCTTACTACATGCTTTTGGGGAGGCAGTGGGTCTATTCTTGTTTTCCCCACAATAGGGCCCCGGAACCCACACGGGGGGGGGGGGGGATGAGGACATGATTCTATAGGGTACGTCATATCAATTGCTATGTAATTTGTGACTCTTTTCATTTGGATGTTTTTTCTCTATGTTTTTCACTCAAATTAAGATGTTTTTAGATATTTTTGACTCCGTTTTGGATGTTTTTGTCAAAGAAAAGTGGCAACACTGCAGACAACACATGTAGGTCAAGGGGCGTCGCACGCTATAGACATTTACATGTACACAGCTGTAAATACAATTTAACTCTTTCAGTATCAAGCAGCTCAGTATACTTATATTGACTACCCTATTCAATGTATACTCTTGGTAGCTATGTTCTGTTCTTGTCTTACATTCATCCATCTGTCCCAGTTGTCAATATCAGGGTTAATGAAACAGGAGAAAAAGATCACGACGTGCGAAATGAGATGCTTACATAAGGCTGCCAATGTCACAAGGAGAGACAGAGTTCGAAACGAGAACATTAGATCAATTGTAGGAACCACACCATGCCTGCAATACATAAAGAAGCAACAAATAGAGTGGTTTGGCCACTTGATGCGAATGCAAACCGACCAACTGCCCCTACGAGCATACAACGAACAGCACTACTGCCCTAGAGCAAGAGGCAGACCGAGAGTACGATGGATAGACAATATATCAGAGATCCTGAGGCAACACGGACTAACAACAACACGTGCAACACACCTGGCCCAGGATAGAAAACTGCGACTCCCCACTACGCTGTGAGGCAATTGTGGACAAGACAAGACAAGACAAGACAATGAAACTGGGTCAGGCACAGTACAGGTACCGTAAGAATAGAAATGTATAGGAAGGAGTACCAGTGAAGTGGCCAGATCTTGGATGTTTCCATGACACCTTATGACAGCCTTTAGTTTAAAAAAAAAAAAGATTTGGTTCTAGACAGGTCACTTTTAGTGCAGAATCCTAATAGTCTTTGTCCGTTTTCATTCACGTGATCAACAGTCATTATGTTTTATAAGGCACACTGGTCATGTTTTGAGTCTCACCCCACGTGAGTATTAAAATAACCAAGTATGAAGATGTCCTCAGATCTGGGAATTGCTTTCACCGTATCATTCAGTGTTGCCGTTTTGTATGTTTTACATCCAGATTTATATGTTTTTTCCTTGCGTTTAGATGGCGTTTTTGACGTTTAGATGGTAGATATTTTTCTAGATGTGTTTCATTTGGAGTGAATTTATCAAATCTAACCTAAGAAACAGTATCGTATCGTATAAAATCAAACAAAAATTCCAAGCTTAGTCCTTTTTTAGCCGCCTGATGGCCTGCTTTTTCAAGAACGGTTCCTTTGCTATCTTATTTATTTATCTTCCTTGTGGTGAGCAATTACACCTGAGTTTGTTCATTTGTTGCCTAAGTTCTGGTTTTGATGAGTCCTGTTTCCTGTTTAGTTGGCTATCCGCTAGTTGTTGCACTGTTCATCTGTGTTAGTACCAAGTCAGTCCTCAGCCACACCGCCGCGAAACAAACAGTCCCGCACACTGAGCGTCCTAAACACGGCCCCCACCAGGACGACTGTCACAATCTTGTTGTTGTGTGCAGTCGTTAGATAAGTAGAGGAGGTAACAAAGGTTTACAAAAAAATTAGAATGCCCGAAGGTGCCAAGATATTTTATAGTTAGGTCGGAAGATGGAGAGAGACAGATAGCTTGTTAGGTTGAGGAAGAGGTCCTTGGTGAGTTGAGTCCTGCGCACTGCCTGCTCTGCCTGGGTTGATCTGAAAATAAACTGATTTACATTTTATATGTATGTGGGGGGCGGGTGAGGTTATCAGAGAAGCGTAATAGCCTGGAATCCACGAGTGCTGGTCCCCTTATTGTGCTATGCCCTTTTAGCTGGATTGCCTCAGAGCGTCGGGTGGCCTTTTGGTGGGTTCTGTTGGTTTTTAGCTGAAAAATGGGTTGATTAACATTTAAACATATGTGGGAGGGGTGGGGGAGTTACAAAATGAAATGCATAATAGACTGAAAACCACGAGTGCTGGTCCCCTTCTTGTGCTATGCCCTTTTAGCTGGTTTGCCTCGGAGCGTCGGGTGGCATTTGGTGGGTTCTGTCGTTTTAATCTTTCTGAAAATGCACTAAGAGAATTTTATGTTATTTTGATTGTTTTAGATTGAGTGATTCGCCTGTGGTAGAGATGGAGTGGAGATAGTACAGGCAGATTAGCAGGAATGCTTTTGAGAGGACATACAGTGAGGTCGGAAGAGTGAGTCCGTGGGTGATGTGGTCAGTATCACTCCAGCCGCATTTACTTCTCAGGACCTATCTGGTACCAATACAAGGCTGGGTCGACCTGAGAGCCAAGGTCATTTTTGAAAAAAGTCCGGCCCACGACTTTCCGATCCGCTGATTTCACAATCTAGCTGTAAACCACAAAACAATGTGCCAGCTGCCCTTTTAAGGGCCAACACAGCAAAGAAGACAAGTTATGAACATCATAATGTTCAAAGAGTAGCACAGTACTTTACACGTAGAAACATGATCAACACTCAATGATAAACTCATAAAAAGATTGTATTGCTCAATTATACAATGGTGGAAATAGCTAAGAAATTATTGTATTTTTACAGCGTATAAGACGACCCCTATTTTTAGGTTAAAATTAAGAAATAAATATTTTTAATACATTCCATGCATAAGGTAACACTTTCCTTGTGAGTTCCGGGGCCCCAAGGTAAGGAAACCAAGAACAGACCCACTGCCTCCCCAACAAGTATGTCATAGAAGTCAATTAATTGGGTGCTTCCTTCGAAGTCATAATGCATATGCCTGAGGGGCAAGGAACTAAACAGTCTGCACACAAATAAGCCAGATCTGTAAAATGGATGTGGATGCAACACTTTGGTTCTGGAACAAGACTAAAGTCCAGTGGTATATGAACTACCAGAACTTTCTGCAAGAGTTTATAGCAGGTGAATGTAAAGAAGATGACGACCCCTAATTTGAAACCTGAAATATTTGGGAAAATATTTTGTGTTGTACACGAAAATCATTCAATTTTTCATAGTGGTAAATACAGAATGGGAGCCATGGTGGTGTAGTGGATAGATGCTCTATTCCCGGCCCAAAGGTTTTGGGTTTAAACCTGCACCACTGCTGCTTTTATTTTTCTTTAAAACTTTAACTTTGACCTAACCTAGAAATGGATACCAGATAATGTTCTGAAACAGATGCGGATCAGGGAAGTCCTCAGTGGAATATCCTCAAATGATGATCTTCTTGTTATGAACAAACAAGTCAACAATAAAATTATCTGAATTAAAAGCAATATTTCCTCAGACAAATGTGGATTTTTATAACTTAAATTGGGCTCCCATGCAGACTCAGCCTAAACTGGATACCAGGAAATGTCCTGGAAAATAAAAGCAGTTAGCGTGACCACCCATCCAGTGCAGACTGGTCTATAAAAACAGAAGTCTAGGACAATATACCAGATATGGAAAGAGTCCTTTTCAGACAAAGAACAGAATACAAAACATAATTACAAAACATTACTAACAAAAATAACTATCAAGTTAACTCTGTTCTCTCATTCTTTCTTGCTCTCTCAGCCCAATCAACTACTCTTTTTTTCAAAATCGCATGCATTCATAGATAAACATATAGATAATATGGCAGCAACAACAAGGAAGGCTGCACCCCAAAAATAAAAAATATCAGAGACGATGCTTTTACTTAACTTCAGCAAATACAAATGAATACCTCAGATGAATAAATATTACTGTGGATGAAACGAAAACAAATTTATCTAGGCCCCCACTTAATATTGCTGAGTCCCTGGAATTGACGTTTGAGCTCGTGTGTATCTGCCCAGGCAGAGTCCATGTAAGTATCCTCTTGTTCTTTCTCCAGTTTCTAGAAGTCAATGAAAAAATTAAAATTATGTTTAAAAAAAATGAGTTTGAATTTATAATTAGTAGTCTAATATTATTAGTATTACAGCAAATAAATACATCATGTCTTCTGCACTTTTATTTGCAGTTACAGAGGACTTTTTTGTAAAGTTGAATTGGGTCTTTGTAGTGAAGAAGAGCTGGCCGGGCATCACAATGAGACCTGGGTCTAAACCCCCAGTAAGATGATAGGTGCTTTTAATCTGCAGAAGGTCACACACTAAAGAAATCCTACCCTGCACTGTTTATGACAATAGCAACAACGATACGCTATAAATCCTCGATTACAAATTCCCTGCCTTAACCCTACAGTGTTAAATACAACCAGTTTAATACAACCAGTAAAGTAGCGACTACGCTGTTCGGAAATTTGTGGTCTTTTTGGCAATTTCCATTACAATGGAAACCGTTTGAAACTTGTTTGGGAAATCTGAAAACGGCGGGAACGAACCCGATTAACAGCGCATGTCTACGACAGCCGAACGTCCTCTGTTTTTCTGTTACATCAGTTTGATTGAAAATAGCGGTAAGTATTCAAGGTTGGCTTTAGGCCTTAAACAATACTTGACATGGTAATGCTAGTTATAATTGAATCCTCCGTCCAATTTTACATTTGTATATAAAATTTCTTTCTTATTTATGGCTAATTCGATTTACAGTGACATTTTTTCAGGCAATCGCTATTATGTGGCTGTGTCTGGGAAAAATTGTCTGCCATCTTGTCCAATCATTGGACCAATGTAAACAAAGCCAAAATGAAAGTGCGCAGTTTGGTTGCACAGAAAAAACTTCTTGTTTCTGGGACGCAAGTTTTAGCAGCTCTTTTTTTACATCTCATCTCCACAAAAACCTATATATCTCAGCTCAGAAATGACATACAAGCCTAAATGAGGTACCATTGGAAAGAGATTGTTTACAGCTATCTAACTGTGCTGGTTTCATTGGTGTAGAGGGCATTTTAACAATTTGACTAAAGTATCTAAGTAAAGACAGTTTGTTTCTGTTTTTATTTTGGAATGAAGACGTTAAGTCACATATCTCACAAATTTGTTTCTGTTTTTTATTTTAGAGTGAAGAGGTTAGGTGCTATGTCTCACAATTTTATTTATATTTTTAGTTTGGTTGAAGAGCTTAAGTCATACGTATTAAGCCATTGCATTACCAACTAAACTAACACAGCTGATAAAAAAACATAACTATCATAAACACAGACCTTGAATTCTTCCTGCTTTTTATAATAGTATGCCATCATCTGCTTCTGCTCCTCCTGGTTGACCACAGGTTCTCTTGCTGGGGCACCCTGGCCCCTCTGTAAAATGGCAATAGGCTTTACTCAAGTTTTAATCCTTTACAATAACATTAAAATTAATCTTACCTCATCAGCTAGATCAAATATCAAAATAAAACTTTATAAAAAAAATATTTTTTTCGGCAACCCAGGAAAGGTTAAAAGAAAAAGTAACCACACTTTTTTTAAAAATCTTTCTTTTTTCCTTTTTTTCTCCATTTTCTAATTTGTGTCACTACGCGTCGCAGGTTAACATATGATCAGTTTCCGAGCTAGGAAACGCCCATTTGCCCTGTGTGCTGTGCTGTTTTGAAATCTGGAGGTATCAGTGACTCCTTCAGTCCATGTTCTTCTTGGTTATCCTCTAGATCTTGGTGTTTCTACTTTCATGGTGTACTGAACAGTCTTGTTGCTGCATCACTGGATTCATTCTCATTAAACTGAGATGCTTGGGATGTCTTACTTTCAGCTCAAAATATAGTGGGATGTCCCGTTTTCAGCTCAAAATATTAGGGTCACTCTATACTGGAGGTAATTTATGGTGACAGCATTATCTTTTCTGTAAAAACGTATTTCATCTTGCTCTGTTAACTCTTTACTCCAGCCACTCACTAAAAGCATCACACATAAGGTGAACTCTGTAGCACTGACTCCCACGAATTCCCCCCCCCCCCCCAATTCAAATTGGCAACAACATGAAGATGAATTAGTGACCTTCATAGTGTGAGTCAAACAGTCTGTCCACTTCATCATGAAGACCCTAAATGAAAGTACGTTAACCCAGTTTTCCGGCTTTTATGGGTTTATGATGACATGACATCCCTTAAAATAGCTTTGGTACTGGTTGCAACTGCACAGTGTGCAGACATGGTCGGCGTGAATCTGGTTACAACAAAAAAATTTGATTTTGAATACTTTAGGTGCAAAAAAAATATTTGATTTTTAAAGTGTCATCGTGACATCATTATAAACTTATGAGGATGACATTTTGCTATCTATGGTTGTGTCAACAAAACCCTTGTTTTCTTGATCAAAGGGAAGGAAAGCAGTTATTTCTTTGCTTCATTTTGTATTCAGTGATTTCTTCTCTTCATACAAAAAAAATGTAGATAAAAAATGTGATATCTCAATTGAAGGAAAAAGACTTAACCAAGTCAATAAAATCCAATATCTTGGAACAATCATATATTATCAGATGGAAAATGTGTGACAGAGATTAAAAGCAGAATAGGTCAAAAGAAGATAGCTTTTTGGAAAAAATACTTTGGACGGCCTGAATAACTAACAACGACTGAACGAAGCTAATGAAAGTAGATCTCTATATACAACAATAAGAAGGAGACAAACACTGTTCTTTGGCTATATGATCAGAAGAGAGACATTGGAAAACATTGTAACAACTGGAAAGATGAGTGAAAAGAGGGGTAACAGCAGACCAAGAGATAAGATGCTGGATGGGATGAAACTATGGCGTGGAGAGATATCATCATGAGAGATGTTCCAGGCAACCAGAGATCGCGATCTGTGAAGACGCATATGAGCCTTCGTGATTTAGCAGGGCAAACCCACACAAAACTTCTGCAAATAAACCACTTTTAATATGAAAACTCCCCCCCCTCCCCTTCTTTTTGTTTTTGTTTAGTTACTTGGGTGCCACAAGGATGCAACAGCTAATAGGCTTGCTTGTCTGCTCAATGGCCAGAGTTTCAACCTCCTGTATTTTTATTTTTTTTTAAACCGACGAAGACTCCAAATTGTTTCTTCTTTTTTTCTCTCTTACTCTAGCTTCTTAGGGAAAAGCTTCCGATAATTCTACTGATATGTTAAAATTTTTAAAGTCATTTTTTATTTTGTTACAGATTTCCACAGGCTGCAGGGGTTCATGACATCTACACTGATGACAAAGAATTCCTCTCATCACTGTTATATGCCATAGCCTACTAGCTAGACTCTCGCCTATTAGCCCAAAGGTCTTGAGTTTGAATCTGCATCATAGTGGCTTTTTTTCTGGAAAACTGACCTTAGTTCCCACGAGCCTAATATGGGTATCAGGCAATGTCCTGGGCAAGTAAGGGGGCCAGCATGATGTTAATTACAGCCCCCACAGTGTGAACTGGTCTGTAAAATATAAGTCGAGCATCCCATACTGAATATACCACCGACACATAAAAGGTCGTTTACTTTTACTCACACTCCTGATAGGTTTAGGAGGTCACTGTTCGCCACGACCTCACATAATCATTAGAGTCTCCCTCCGACCATGGATTCAGATAAACAGTCAACTAATATTTTAACAGAAAAGCATGCAAAGATGAAGAAATATAGTATATTTAGCTTGTCATCTCTGGCATATTTTTGTATGTTTCACGCCATAATCATCATCACAATATAGCTGGTCCTTTGCAGAACGTCGCTCTCATTACTGTCTCCCTGAAAGAAACTCGGTCTCTCACCAGCTGTCCCGCCTCGGACACTTTCATATTCAAGGAGTTACTTATATCTTGTGTCCATCTTTGTGTTGGTTGACCCCTGCACCTCCTTCCTGGTACCATGATTTCTGCTATTATTTTTTTTTTAAATCCACCGTGGCATTTGATATGGCCAAAATATTTCAGCATCCGAGAATATGACGCTGTTGATTCCCCAGCCTTACCGAGGATTCGAACTCGGGTCTCCCGCTTGAGAGCCCAGCATTCCACCCATGTGGCCAGCCACTCCTCCAAATAACATGCAACAGACCCAAAAAAAATATACTGGTTCACTAGTACCTTTTGTAATTTGGCCACAATTTTGGTCTTCTCATTCTTGCCAACAAAATCTCCCAGTTTCTTGTGTGGCAACAGCTCTTTGCCTGCCCACCACATGGAAGCCTGGTCAATATCTATAACTTCCAGTGAAGCCTATAAACAAAAACAATCAGCTCAAAGACAAAATCAATAAGATGCATATTACAATAATATGGGGAGCCACCGTGGTGTAGCTGCTAGACTCTCGCCTGTAGATCCGAAGGTCATGACTTCCAATCCGGACACTGCTGACATTGTTTCTTTGAAAATGACCTTTGCTCCCAGGTAGACCCAGCCCTAATGGGTACCAGGTAAAAGTCCTGGGAAGTAAAAGCAGCTGGTGTGATGCTGATCACATCACCCACCATGTGATCTATATAATACGGGTTTAGCCTCATATGCACAATATGCCTGAAGGCGTGAAAAACATGATCCCTTACTTTGCTATACTAATACTGTGGTATTCTCTATAACAGAAAGTAAGAAAAAACTTATGGCTGGTATAGTTTAATACAGGAATAAACAAAAAAGAGAAAATCGCAGCGAACAAAGCTATTGGAATGGGAATAGTAAACAAGGGCAGCCTTTATAAAACAGAAATTCACAGATAAACATATCCGGAATTAAAGAAAATTGTAAAAGAGAGACAACTATGGAACAAAATGGACAACAAACTTTATGACCAGCCCAAGAATGAAATATTTGATGATATAGCAGAAAATGAAGTCATCAAGTCAAAAGTGTACCAGACTAAGAAAAAGACAAATCTGCTACCTTTTAGCTACATCTAGAACATATATAGCTTAGAGTAACACATGACAGAAGTGTTTGCCATAAGGGAGTCAGAAAAGATGAACAGCTTGTTGGAAAAGAGTATTAAAAGAAAGCATGCAGAAACCAGTAGTGGGGCAAAGGAAGATGTTCATGATTACTTAATTTTTCTAATTTGTTGTGAGTGACCATCTAGCACTGGTAACATATGGTTGGAATTAATACGCCTTATATGAGATGTTTCCTTGTGCTAATCGGGACTGTCTTAGGCTGTAAGAGGAATGCTAGCTGACCCAATATTTGGCTTGTTTTAATGCATCAGATGTTTATTTCTTCATCCAATTTCTCATTATCAGTTAAAGTTATTCCCAAAATGTTTTTTTAATCTGATGCCTGGTTTTTCTTTGCACTCTACTGCTATATTTAGGTTCTGTTTCTTTCTTCCTATTGATATTCTTTCTTTCTTTTCAGTGTTGATTCTCATATTACATGTTTCACCTTCTTCATTCACAGATATTATAATTGTTACAATTATACGGCTGTATCTGCCAATTAAACAGCTGTATCTGCTATGAAAACCTGGTCATCAGCAAAGAGTAAACTAATATTTTAGTTTGGCTGGTTCTGCACCAGTGGGTGCTGAACTGACACATAGAATGCTAGACGTGGTCAAGGCCCTGTGGAAGCAAGTGAACCATGTCCAAGCACAGACAGATCATTTTGATCTGGACATAGTGGGGGGGGGGGGGGGTGGCAGTGAATCTAGCTGACATTCTACACTCAGAGAAAAGGCCAAGATGGACACACAATCAAACTGCTACTGGTAGCATCGACACTGGAATTCCTAGCTGGCTGTTGAAGATGGACGTGGGGTGCTTATTTTAATGTCCCAAGTGCTGTCTGTCAATTATTAACTCAACTGAGCTCGATAATGACCTATAAATGAGAATGTGGATAAATTCATAGCATATTGTTAACCACGCTAAATGACATACCTGCCTTCCTGATAGGTCCTCTGTGTTCTCAAACTCTGCCCTGATTGGGTCGTGAGGTGGAAGCCCCATTGGGTACACAATCATGACAGCACCCCTCAAGATGTCCAGAGCATCCTGGACCGTCTTCTGTGTCACCTGAACATCCATCTCTACCTTTTTCTTGAATAACACAGAAAATGCATCAATTCAGCAATCTCTTTACAATTACATTATTTTAATTTACCTTCTTTGTCTTTATTCTATATTATGTTTTGGATGTAATAAAAGAGAGCGACAATGTATTATATTGAGACTAAGGACAGGGCACATAAACAAATGTTCAAACTTTTCAGTGTAGAAACATGGAGACGTGTCCCTGCAGCATGGCACCCAAAATTGCTGAGCTTGTGTACCAACATGTCAACCGTATGTTGTTAACAGAGACGCAACCTGGCCTGTTCCAACTATGATGAAGACAAAGTTGTATGGTAAACGAGAAGATATGGACTGCATGATAGCTTTCATAAAGGCTGCCGGCCTACTGATATGTTTTCTGATAGAAGGATCGAAGAAGAAGTGATGTGTCAGTTCACTGCACAGCTGCTATATTTGCTATTTTCAGCCAAATTGTTCAACTTCTATCGGTTTTTTTTTTTAAACCAGGATAGACTTCCCGGAAATTAATGTTTCAGTAGCAGAGATGTTCAAAAGAAGCAATTGATATAATACCTGACACATAATTCTGAAACAATGTACATCAAAAACAATACAAGCACACTGCAGAAGTTACTGCTACAGCAGTATAAAATTCCAAAGATAAACTCGGTCATGGAATTATGATGTTCACAAATGAAAAGGGTTTAATTTTGGTAAAACTACAGAAATGGAAACTACTGGAAAATACAAAGAGTAGAAGCTTAACTTTAGGAGAATACAATCACACAAAAACACACACAAAACAATGGGGGTTGTGGAGACCAGACTTCCTAGCAGACAAGAATAAACACAAATAAAAGATGGAAATGACATTAAGTAACAACATGAAGGTTATCTTCAAGCCAATACAGGAAATAAAAAGTTAAGCAGAATGAAGTGAAAATAAGGTACTTGAACTCAAAATCTTCAAAGATGAGAAGTTTGTGATGGAACAGAATAAAGCAGGAAGTTGTAGGAGAAGTGGACAGACGTAGAAGGGAAAGAGAAAGAAAAATAAATGTGAAAACAAAAATGTGAACAAGATGTTCAAAGAATTTTTCTTTAACCTGTCATGCCTTCAAAAGAGCATGTGCCCTCAGCCAACTCAAATCAAGCACCACACCCCCCAACCCCAACCATTTTTTGCATACTTTTGATTCACTGCCAGTTAATTGTTATTAGTATTTTATTAGTAATTGTTTTAGTTGTCATTTCTGCTCCATACAGCAGTACTGATTTAATGTTACTATCAAATATTCTAAGTTTGGAATTAGATTGTAAGTTCTTTTAATTTCCACAAATTTCTTAGTGCTATAAAGGACTCTCTTGTCTTTTGAATTATTTTTTTTAGAATATGTCTGCTTTCCTATCTCTCTCTATGGTAAAGTGGTAAAGCCATTTGCAGTGCCCTCTGAAGGTCATAAGTTCATTTCATGGCAGCGTCGTTCAGTTCACCAGTTGCATTTTTTACTAAATCCCTGAGGATCCTCACCTGAACTACAGTTTTCATGCTTTGTGTGACGCTTGTAGCAGGTGGCTAACCATTCTGCTAAGAGAGTTTGAGCCACATAGGATAAAACCCAGTGCAATGAAGTAGATTCTCTCAACTTTAACCCTGTCTGTTTACACTGCTACCTAAATATGTAAATGATTTTCATCTGTTGCTCTGGAAATCAGGTCCCAAGGAAGATTAAGTTATCATTTACTTGACAATACTGAGTTATCATTTGGTTGAAAATACTGAGTTATCATTACTTGATAAGACTGAGTTTTCATTTACTTGGTTTATTAAACTTACTTGCTTTATGCTTTGTACCAGGGGATCTGGACACTCAACACTCAGGGGAAGGATGAGACAGATATATAATCAGATGGTTACTAGTACCATCAAAGTTGGAACTCTTCGCTTGATGCTTAAGATGGGAACTGATCACTTATGGGAGTGTCCTGAGTGCTGTAATGTCGATTCTTAATTCAACATTCAAGCTTTATGCATTTCTAGACCTAGCTGTTGTGACCTCATGACAAATGAATTTATTTATTGTGTGTGTGATCAGCACAGTCCTGATCATCAAGTTGCTCTGACAAAGTCCAGGGAATATCATTTCTGGTGGCAGTTTTTGCTGTCTTCCTGATCTAGTTTATAGCCAGATTGAACAATAAATGTAACATAAGGCATCTCTTTCGTACTGACGTACTTGAATTTTGTTTTTATTCATTTTATGATCTGTGGGAGACAACTGTGCCTCATTAATTTCAAAGTGATTTTATCAAAGCCGCCAATGGCCAATTATTAAAATATATTCTTCAACATATCCCTAAACAATAACATTAGAAATAGTTTCATTTTTACCTTTGATATCATATCCTTTGCCTCTTTTATTGTTTTTGTCAGCACTTCTGCCATCTGAGGTGTTGGAGCTAAATGAGGAGGAAAAATAAACAGTGAGGAAGGGTCACACCATGAACACTATTATAGTTCTATAAATAGAAAGCAGCAATAATAATTGAAAATAAAATTAAATAAGAAGGCCTCTTTGGTAAGGTGATTAAGCTGTTTGTCTTGATCTTTAAAGGCTGTGAATTTGTTTTCAGGATGGCATCATTCAGCACATGAATACAGCCCTTACAGAGATCTTTGGGATCGTCGCTTGAGCATGTAGGTCATGCTTGAAGGAACATTCTTAGAAGGTGGTTAGCCATTCTAAAGAGAGAGACCCAGCAATATAAGATAAATCATGGTACAAAGAAGCTGACCCTGTTGGTTACAAACGTTCATATCAATTAAGTCTACCAATCTCTGCATCTCACTCGGGTTATAAACTCTCTCTGCTGTTCAGTAATCTCTGGAAGTTATCCTGTCACTTGGTATCAATGTCTACCTCTTGCTTGCCTGTCTTCAACATTTTCCCTCCAGTATGATTTTTATAAGTATTATGTCTTTTGAGGAGCGGCTGGTCAGTTAGAATGCTGGGCTCTTGAGCAGGAAACTGAGGTTCAAATATTTTGGTAAGGTTGGGGATTATTGTTTCTATGTAGCACACACACACACACACAATCCTAACCTGCATAACCTGTGGAGAGAGCATGAGCCCTGTGGCCCTATATCCTCAGGCCTAAAGACACCTCCCCCCTCCCCACATCCGCCTACACTGCAAAAGTGATAACTTTTTTTTTTAGTATCCAGAAGCCATGAGTTGTTAACCCTTAGGCTCAGTATTATGGATATAGCAACCTTTCGGCCTTGATCCCATGATAAATACCCTAAATCTGGGAGAAATGTGACTTTTCTGATTACCCCCGAGCGTGAACCCGGACCACAAGGAGTTCATCACCCGGTCACCACGCAATCCGGTTTAGCTAGCGAGCCGGGCAAAATTGATAAATAAAGGCAGTAATGGCAGTTAGGTATTTGAATGACAAAATACACTGACTCTTGTTTTATTTTTTATTTTTTTTTCCCCAATAATTCTCATTTAATTCACAGTCCCTCCTCTGTTTTTACTTCTACAGAAAATTATCCTAGAGATGTGGATTTGCAGACATTTATCCACATCATTAGAGCCACAATCTGACTTTTATTTTTTGCCCCATAGCAGTGTTGAAAATATAAGATTTGACTATTTTCATTTTAATGTGTTGCTTATCTCTCTGTCAACACCTGTCTGTCATACATCTATAACTGGGTCCATGATGGTGGCTCAAGGCTTATGAATGCAGTGACATAATTCTGACAAACTAGGGTTCAAAATCAACTGCAGGCAATTTAACAGATGATTTCAAAAATGATATTAGCACCGTACCATTCAGAAATTAATGACAAACTATCAAATAGAACGTACCATTCAGAAATTAATGACCAACTATCAAATAGAACGTACCATTCAGAAATTAATGACCAACTATCAAATAGAACGTACCATTCAGAAATTAATGACCAACTATCAAATAGAAAACGGCCTAGAAAAACCACAAAGAATCAACAAATGCTGTGTTTGGTCTGTAATATTTTACACAGGATATGCAACTAACTAATGCATCTCTCTGCATGTGCTTCTTTTTTTTTCTTAGTGTTCACTAACTCTAAACTCTGGCGGACAGTTCTGGCTGTTCATCCACTTCTGGACTTTGGTCTTGTTCTAGAACTTGAGTTCTGCATGCATATCTGTTTTACAGTTCTAGCTTATTTGTATGGAGACTGTTGGTTCCTGGCCTCTCAGTTAGATACACTCTAACATCAAAGGTAACACCCTAATTAGTCACCTTTTCTTCTTCTTAAAGTCCATGCCATGTGGTGCTGGTAGTCATGTCTGTCCACAACCTTCTGTCTCATATACTTTCATGCCATGTGGCACTGGTAGTCATGTCTATCCACAACCTTCTGTCTCATATACTTTCATGCCATGTGGCACTGGTAGTCATGTCTATCCACAACCTTCTGTCTCAAATACTTCCATGCCATGTGGCACTGGTAGTCATGTCTATACACAACCTTCTGTCTCATATACTTTCAATCAACTCTGCCACAGATGATCTTCCATGCCATGTGGCGCTGTTAGTCATGTCTATCCACAACCTTCTGTCTCATGTACAATCAATCAACTCTGACACAGATGATCTTCCATGCCATGTGGAGTTGGTAGTCATGTCTATCCACAACCTTCTGTCTCGTGTACAATCAATCAATTCTGACACAGATGATCTTCCATGCCATGTGGCGCTGTTAGTCATGTCTATCCACAACCTTCTGTCTCGTGTACAATCAATCAACTCTGCCACAGATGATCTTCCATGCCATGTGGCGTTGGTAGTCATGTCTATACACAACCTTCTGTCTCGTGTACAATCAATCAACTCTGCCACAGATGATCTTCCATGCCATGTGGTGTTGGCAATCATATCTATCCACAACCTTCTGCCTCGTGTACAATCAATCAACAATGACACAGATGATCTTCCATGCCATGTGGCATTGGTAGTCATGTCTATACACAACCTTCTGTCTCGTGTACAATCAATCAACTCTGACACAGATGATCTTCCATGCCATGTAGCGCTGGTAGTCATGTCTGTCCACAACCTTCTGTCTCGTGTACTTTTAATCAACTCTGACACAGATGATCTTCCATGCCTTGTGGTGCTGGTAGTCATGTCTATCCACAACATTCTGTCTCGTGTACAGTCAATCAACTCTGACACAGACGATCTTCCATGCCATGTGGCGTTGGTAGTCATGTCTATCCACAACCTTCTGTCTCGTGTACTTCCATGCCATGAAGTCAAACCGTTCAGCATCTGCTCTCTTTTACTACATGCTTATTAGAGGAGCCTAGGGTATATCCCACTCCCTGACCTACCAATTCCCAAATGAGGTTACGGAACGCAAATTTAGGCTCTGGATGTTCAAACTGTTCTCATGTTACCAACAATATTTTTGTCTTTACCCATTTTCTTTTGGATTTCTATTCCATATCTGCCTTTCTTTCCAATTAAAATTACAGTTGTATTTAACACAGCAAACTTTGGAAACTGGAGGTCTATCAAACTATGGCGCTAATCCAATTACCTTGTCCATTTCTGCAACCAATTTTGTCTTTGTTAAATTTCACACCTCCGCTAGGCTGACATTTTTCACCCCATTCATCTTTCAGTTTAAGCTCCTCAATCTGTTCATCTGTGAGCCCCTGCATGTTTGGTGGGAGTGAGACGCCATGTTTGGCAAGTTCCTGCATTTCTGTTCAAACAAAAGATACCATCAGGGCTCATAGATAACCAAATGTACCAACAAACAGTAGTATAAACAGACATAAGAGACCCACACAAAAAGCGGCATAACTGAAGTAACCAGCGTGACAGTGAATGAGGTACACACTATTTGTTATAACTAAAAAGTAAAGGACCCTTTCCCCCTCCTTCAGGCTCTAGGTTGTTATAGAACTCTATTTATTTCCAGACACTGCAAATCAAACTGCAATTTGAGTGAGATTAAGAAGTCAAAACAGGAAGTAAGAGAAAGAAAAAAGAGGAGAAAATCAATACAGTAAGAAAAAGAAAAAAAGAGGAGAAAATCAATACAGTAAGAGAAAGAAAAAAGTGGAGAAAATCAATACTTGTATACAATACATGTTTCTTCTGATGTGTCTCCAACTTGTGGTGGAGGAACTTGTGTGTTCCAATGACCCAAAGAGCCACGCTGACATAAGTTAGTTAGTCGACACAATTATTCTTATTACAGACTGAACCATTCAGTCCATAAATGCTCGGGTCCCCCTCTTCTATAAACCTCGTAGCATGCAGTGGCTGATGACATCCATTTTGTGTTGGTTTCTTATTCTTCTTTGGCTTCCTGCATAGTGCTCTTGAATGGCCACATCTCTTTAATTTAACTTGCTGTTCTTGCAGTCTGGTCATAGTTGCAGAGTTACAGTCGTCACTTGGCTCTTGCAATAATTTTACATCTCATAGAGATTTGGTCTGTGGCTCGTCTGCCCTTTACAGTAGCCTTACCAGCAAGCTCATTTTCTTGCACACCAGCGTAACCTCGCAGGAAAATTAAACTGACAGGAGTTTAGATATTAAAGGGTCTCCCATATCAAGTCACAGATATCAGGTGAGGTGAGACAACAAACCTGCAGCCTGGAATGCTAGAACCTAGGGCTTAGGCTCAAGCCCCAGACCTATTGTGGAGGTAAGGGGGGGGGGGGGGGAGTGGGGGGGGGGGGGGGGGTGAGCACCGTGAATTTTCTGGGGGTCTCCCTGTAGTTCTTTTGTTTCCATGACAGCCTTTTCAGAAACATGGGAATAATGAGAATTTAAATGTATGAATGTAAAGTATGTATTTACACATAACAACTAATTAACAAAACCTCTAAATCATTTTCATTCTCTTCGCGTTCACTGGCTGTAAACTCCAGATAAACCATAGATATGAGGAATCATACCCGCAGATGTCTCACATGTTTTGTCTTTGCCTCTGGCATGTCTTATATTTCTCTTATTGAAGAGATGCATCAACAAAAACATTAACAGCAATGCCTAAGTACATTACCTCCACAAATTCTGTCAACCTTTAAGCGACCATTATAGATAGTTGCACAATCCTTCAAGATGTCGGCAACTGGTGTGTCGATGGAGGCCTCATATAAAAACTGGGATTCATCTCCTCTCTTGACATGAATCTTAACCATGGCTGTGGCTTGTAGGATCACAGTTCTGCAGACATTACAAGAGAAATGGCATCAACAAAAACAAAGAACACTGGCTACCACTGCCTGCTTGATCTCTGTGGGATTCTAGGTCCCATTTTTGTTGAGAGAAAAGATTAGGCCAACTGCACTTTTTCTTTTTCTGTGTTTTCCTTACAAAGGGCAACTGAAACATTGTGCTGTAGTTCATACCTGCGCCTTTTGGTACAGCACATTCACATTCAGAAAAACCCAAAATAGTTGACTTTTATTATATGCTTGTGGTTAGGGGGGAGGGGTGTCTATTCTCACCACTCCCCCCCCCCTCAGTAGCCTAGGAACCCACAAGGGACTCCATCTTAATAAGCTGACATAAACGGTGATTAATTAAGGATTTCCTGAAGTCAGATATATCAGTTTAAGACTGAAATTTGCAGATATCACAACCTAGCTGTAAACCGCAACATAACATGCTAACTTCCCTTTACAGGCAAATGCGGAAGAAGAAGAAGCTTGCCTGATCAGTTTAGAAAATCCCCCGTGTGGGTTCCGGGGCCCCATTGTAGGGGAAAACAAGAATAGACCCACTGCCTACCCAAAAGCATGTCGTAAGAGTCGACTAATTGGGGAGCTTCCTTTGAAGTCGGAGTGCATCTGCCGGAGAGGCAAGGAACCAACAGTCTGTATTCAAGAGAATGAGATTTGTAAAACTGATGCACACGCAACACTCAGGTTCTGGAGCAGGACTGCAGTTCAGTAGTGGACGAACAACCAGAACTTTCCGCCAGAGTGTACAGCTGGTGAACGTGAAGAAGAAAGAAGAAGTTTAGAAAATCACTTGCTTTTAAAAAAAAGTCATTTGGGTTAAATTTGTCAGATGATTACAGATACGAGGATGAACTTCATTACACCAGGCTTTATCCGATCTGCTGTGGTCTGTCTCCACAAAAAGGGTAGCTTGCCACTTGCAGAAAGTACTACACAGAGAATAAATTCTTTAGCTACAGTGACAACCCAAGACCTAACTGAAAAATTACCTTCATGAGCCAAACAACACAGACAAAATATGAATATCTACAAGGCAAATAGATTTAACAATGAAACCTCCAAATACTTATCTATGATACATCATGCGCAGACTTTTTGTAACTGTCCCTTATCCAATTAATATGAAAAAACTGAAGCACTTATGAAAGTAACTGTTAAATACAAACTATCTTTCCTAAACTTATCCACTGTTATTAATTTTATTGTTAGATAAAAAAAAGCCTATGTGCGATATTTAGGAAATAGCAGGTGGCTGATTTGTGTCAGGACTGGAAATGTGCCTTGTGCAGTATTGTGTGAGCTACTGACTGACTGACTTTCTACCCCACCAGGACATCACACAAGCGATAAACACCCAATGACACAAAGAGCCACTATGTGGGTGAGGATCACCGTGGAGAGGTCCCAGAAACTGCGTTCAGCCTTTATGCCATATTTATGGCCAGGTTATATTGTGGCGCCTGGCAAGAGCCAGAGTAGGGCTTCAAATAAACAGGATGGAAAGTATGCGGTGAGCTACTACCACCTTGTCATGAATTCTACTTTCATCAACCACAAGCTTCTGGAGACTACCTTATGAATTTACAGGTGTGCGAGTCTCTGGATAATTAATTATCTATATCTGCAATGTTGTTCACTTTATCATCGTATAAATGAAACTGTTATGATAATGTTTATGCATAGTTTTTTAGAAATAAAAACAAAGTGAACAATTAACTCTCTGAGTCTCAGGGAACGCATCACGCGCTAATTTGTTTCAACCGCCCGGCCCAATCAATGCGTGACAAGTGAAGGTTTTTAATCTACCACATACCGGTTGTAAAGCGGATCACTCACTTTCAACTTCCTTTCGAGTTCTTTGTGTTTGATCAGGCGTGCTCATTTAGAAACGTTTGAAAGCTGAAAATATAGTATATTTGCGAGTTAATAAGTGTTTGTTTGAAAAGAATATGGTCACCAAGCAATATTCTACATGCATGCCAAGATTTACGGCTTTAGAAACCTCAAATTTATATAAAGTAGGTGTTTATTAGATTTATCCGAAGTTAGATAATGTTGCGAATTAGACATGTTTCAGTCATTTATAGTCAAACTATGAAGAGGGATATGTCTAATGTGTACATCACACGAAGGGTACAACGATAGCAAAGTCAGCTGTCACAAATAGAATAAACATTAGTGAAAAGATGATTTTCTTCAGCGTCAGTTAGTTCTAGTGCTATTCCCCTTATTATTTAGGAACATATTTTAACCAGTTTTGCTTGAGTGCCATGGTGGTAAGTGAAACAATTTTTAGCTATCCTCCGAATAACGGGCAAATATTATAACGGCGGCAAAAACAAGGCGGCTTCCGCATCTCCTGCAGCTTTGCTCTTGAGTCCCAGCCATCTAGTTTAGCCCTAATCCACGCCGCGTGAGCGGCTTTGGGAATACTCTCGGTAGTCGCCGGGAAACTGCAAATTAGGAAGTGCGCAAATGACACGTGACTGAGGCCCTGTTTTTGGGCGCCATAATATGTGCCCGTTATTCGGAGGATAGCCCAATTTTTATTTTATTTTGCTAGTTTTTGTTGTCAGTTTATTTACTAATATTTAATTACTAACGTAATTATGTGTTGTAGCTATGTTCTATAATTGTTCCTCAACAAATCCCTGGTCACTTTGATGTATAATAAGTGTATGTTGCGCGGCAATTGAGATAGTATGTTTTAATGTGATACACTTGTGAAATTAAAAAATTGCATAACCACCCCTTGGGCCTCTGATGCTAAACCCCCTGGTTAATATTGTCCCTAACTGATATGTCTGCTATGCAAATAGTTTTACTCAACACTCAGCCTAGCAAACTGGTACGTCAAATAGTCTTCTATGTTCTATTTAACTCAATACAGTAATCTGTTCATTCTACCTGGAATGGCTTTGTGACTTTTCAGTGAAGCTTTTTTTTTTTTGTTAAATTAGTTGTCAAAATATAAAATATCTTGGTTCTCCTTGCAACTAGGGCCACATATTGGGGGAGTGAGCCAGAGTTCAGTCCCCTGGCCGCATTACAATTATGGAATGGAGAAGGAACGAATCACACAACAAAGTGAGGTCGACATGGCTGGCAGACCACGCGCTGCGACTCAAATTAGCGACCGCTAGTGGCGGTCATTATGGGTAAGTACTCGACGTTACATGTGTTACCCTAACCCTATGATTAGCGACTACAGTTGCGGAAATTTGCGATCTTTTCGACAATTTCTGTTACCATGGAAACCGTTTGAAACTTGTTTCGGAAATGTCGGCTGGGGCTTCGGGATGGGTCCTAATCTCTCATGAAATTTTGCGATTGGTGTGGTTTTCACTCACTCTAAATAGCTGAAAACGGCGGGAAGGAACTCGATTAACAGCGCATGTCTACGACAGCCGGACATCCTCTGTTTTTCTGTTAGTCTATCAGTTTGATTGAAAATAGCGGTAAATTCGAGGTTGGCTTTAGGCTTTAACATTACCAGATGTGGTAATGCTAGTTATAATTGAATTCTCCATCCAATTTTACATTTGTATATAAAATTTCTTTCCCGTTTCTGGCTGTTTGGATTTACAGTGACATTTTTTAGGCAATCGCATGTGGCTGAGTCTCATTGCCTGCCATCTTGTCCAATGACAGTCCAATGTCAACAAAGCCGATACAGAACTGCGCAGTAGGTTGAGCAGAGAAAAACTTCTTGTTTCTGGGTCACAAGTTTTAGCGGCTGTTTCTTACATCTCATTTCCACAAAAACCTACATATCTCTGCTCAGAAATGACATACAAGCCTAAATGAGGTACCACTGGAAAGAGATTGTTTACAGCTATCTAACTGTGCTGGTTTTATTGGTGTAGAGGGCATTTTAAAATTTCGCTGAAGTAGCTACTATGATTACAGCAGTGCACTGCACCCAACCCTAACCCTATGATGACAGATGACAGCAGTGCACTGCACGCTGTCTATCGCCAACACACCACACTAATTACGTCATTTGTTTCGGTCCCTTCTCTCCACTCCGTAATTGCAATGCGGCCAGGGGACTGCACTCCGGCGTACTCCCCCAATATTATGTGGCCGTAGTTGCAAGGACCAAGGAGAGCCAATATCTTTCATTACTTTAAAACCGAAAACAAAATTGTAATCCAGAATTTACCAAATTATTTTCAAACTGTACTGAAAATATTAAGGAATAATGAAATATTCCTATTAATGTTACGCTGACCAGCTGTCTGGCCATCATAGTAATTATTATTAAACATACCACTCTTGAGTTCTAGAAGTAGAACAAACGTTTGAGAATGAGTGCCTCTGGACTCCCCAACTTCCGGTCTTGCGTTTGTTGCTACAGCACCGGGGTGAATGTTATAGCAACACTAGAACCAACGACCACAAATAGCATCAGTTCATTTAGAGACTTCTTATTGTCTTCTTCTTCCTCGTCTTCTTTTTCTTTGAAGAAGTCTCTGGTTGCGAGCTATGATGTGTACTATACAGATACAGATATTTTCGGCCTAGACATCTATCTATCGCTTACTACTTCCATTATGTTTAAGTGGCAGGGCTCTCTGCTGGCTTATCTGGTGGTGGTTTTAAAACATGTCCACACCATTTGATCTGTCATCATTTCCGATCCTGTATCTTCTAGCTGCATCCGAAGTTCGTCTGAGACATTTACGATTTTTTTTTTTTTTTAAGGAAACCCTCCCATGGCAGTAAAGAAGGCTGCCACGAATCTTCTCGCGCTGTTTTAGTGTATCTTCTCGTTCCACAGATCTTTCCAGCAATCACATCTTCCTGTTCCAGTTTGCCTCATAACAAGACCAAAACTGATTACTGACTCCTTCTGATGTTTGTGAAAAGTTGTCTTTGGGCCCTCGTCCCTTTCAAAATATCTTTGTTACTTGTACAATCATACATGTAGAGAGTATGTGCTAGTGTATATA